CAGGATCTCAACCTCACCCCAAAGGTTGATGAATCTGTAGAAATGCATTGTGATAATACTGCTGCTATCCAGTATGCGATCTGAAGTTTCACAGAAAAACCAAGCATATCAAAAGGTGTTATCATTTTGTACGAGATGCGATAAAAAATAAAGAAGTTTTCATTATGTATATACCCACAAAATAGCTGATCCTTTAACCAAACCTATATGCAGAGATGCTTTCCAGACTCATGTGAAGAGTCTTGGTTTGCGTAGGTTTTAATTTTATTTTTGTGGGATAATAGATGTGTATAATGTTACACCGAACATATATGAAATTTTTTGTTCTTTGATATGTTCTTTAGCATATGTTGCATAATTAGGCATGAGTAAAGATGTCACTAGGCTTTTGAGCTTATCACACAAGTAATCGCCCTATCACATTAATTGTGAGTAATAGGATGAGACTATGTCATATTCATATTACGTGTATGTAGTATGGATTGTATTTATACTTTTGTTGTATAAAAATATTTTTACAGTCGCCTTAGTAAGTCTAAGATGAGACTCTAATGAGTCGAATATGAAATAATCCTGATTTCATATCGAAGCTTTGAAGCCGAATCTCGAGTGGAAGATAAATTATTAAGTATATTTATCAAGTGACTCGGGTTAGATACTTTAGTAGTATCTAAACTATAGATTCGTATAACATAGTAGAGTGACATGCCCATCATAGTGGGAGCTATGTTATGACACGTATATCATACTGCGTATGCTTTGAACGACCGTTAAGGATTGATAGATGATTCCCTACTTTGTCAAGGTGTTAATACTATGGATTTTGTTGTCCAACTTTGTACGAAGCCTTTTGGACTTAGAACTATGTTATGAAGCTGAGACTTAGTGTTGCTACTCTAATATGTCCTCCAAGAGCTATGATCGATACAGTTCGACGGAACATGTTAGGAAAGCAACTAAGTTGAGATGAAGTTTCATTAGTGTCTAAACTGATTCAACTTCACCACATTAGCCCGGGCGGTTATATTTGAATATAACCATGTTGTGTATATAGCATATAGAGACTGTATATGCTATCGGTGATTTTTGAATAGTTAGAAGTTGTCGTAAGTATGATAGTGTTATGTGATATGGGATATTATATACACAAAGTGTAATATCCCGAGATATTAATCAGTATGATTTACGTCTAATTCCGATATAATAACGTTAATGTTTATTATTTTCGGAATTAATTAAGTTCAGTCGGATTACCGAAATATATTTTCGGCGTACCGTTTACGTCCGAAATAATTTTGGTAATTAAGTATTATGTTTAATTTAACAATTAAACATCAAATGAGTGATTAATTAAATTTAATCACAAGCTAATCAATTTTTACCCTAAATAGCCGTGAGCTTAGAGGGAAAATTTCCAAAAGTTTTCTAAGTCTCGTGAGCAAATTCTTAGGCATGAAGTAAGTGTTATTGACCAATCATAGTGTGTAACTTGTCATGAGGATATAAAGCTTAGTCACCCTTCATTATACAAGAAGTTAACAAGTGTGAGAAGATCAAAAAGCCACATAGGGCCATCATCATCACCCATCGCACGGCTATCTCTATTTAAGGGTGCCTTTGGAAAAATTTCGGTCACTTCCCTTATAGAACACCTAGAACATCTTCAGCATATACATTCTTCTTCCCCTCAGCAAAAAGTTCAGAAAAATTGCCCTTTCATTCGATCACAATCGCACGGAAAAACCGAAATCTACCGCACGGAGCTTGCACGAGGAAGAAGCACACCACATCTTTGATTTGAGTCGAGCGATCGTTAAGGTATTTCCTCCTCGTGTTAGGATTATGTTAATCAGTCTATTTTAGAGTTGATTATGCGGAAGAATTTTCAGAAATTTTAAGGAAATTTTGTTCAAAACCGTGCTTAAGCCTATGTAATTTACCGCCGAACAATTTTCGTTTTCTTCCGACAACTTTCGATCAATAAGCCTTAAAATGATCATTTTAGTTGAGTGTTAGATCAGTTCGACCAGATTGTCGAGATAAAATGATGTGCGGGCAATGAAAGGGCCCCCAGCCGTTGCTAGTATCTATCGCACGGCCTCGGGTGGCCGTGAGCCATGCTTTGCAATTTTCAGTAAAAATTTATGTTTAGCCGTGACCTTTAGGGTTTAATTAGATTTAATTTAATTGATCATATTCAGTTATGCGAGAATTGTCGGGGAAAAACAGAGATTTTGCCGAGGAAAGGCCCCAGCCGGCACCCCACGCCTATCGCGCGTAGCCTCGGGGGTTGCCGTGGGCCGAGGCATGCGGGTTCAGTTTAATCATTTTACTCATGTGGTTAAGTTTTAGTTCATTTCAGTATAATTATCATATGATTAAATCCTGAGGTTGTCAAGAATGATTTGAGTTTTGGCCGAGGGCCGTAGGTCTCGCTCATGGCGAGGGCACCACGGCCGAGGGCCACGGTTTCGAAGTTAAGTCAGCCTTTGGTTGTTAAAAATTCAGTTCCGGTCAATCCGGATAAGTCTAAAAATTAAAATAAGATTAATAGAGCATCTTAACGAGATTAATCAGACAAATTAAGCAGTCTGAGCATAGTCAATAGTAATTGTTTATATTATTTTCAGTTTAGCAGGCATCAGCACTACCTGTCAGTCAGACAGTTCAGGTGGGGACTCAGACTAAGTA